CATGATATAATTATTTTGACATTTCATATGTGTCTATTGCTAAAAGCCCCAATGAACTGTCTCACAACACAGTCAGGTTTATACATGAAAAAAATACCCTTTAAATATAAAGGCTCTGCTATACAGCACACAATTCTGCTTGCCAGAGGCAAAAGTTCTGCTCTTCTACCACTGTCAAGCTTCAGGAACCTGGTTGAAGCCCCTGAAATTACATTCATATAAAGTATTAAAAAATTGGGTAAAATTCTCATTTTTAAGCATTAAACTTATTCTTCCTCTAAAGCATAAGTTGTAGAAATACCTATTTTCCGATTGTTGCATATGCCAATATTCACTCACATCCTTGGAGTTAAGGCTTCTGTAGAGCTCATTTAACTGTTCAAACAGGTTGGGTTTTTTCCCAATTCTTCACACTTCTTTGGTTTCCTTCCTTTTTTTCCCTTTACTTTATATTTTATTTGCTTTTTCCCATCCACTTTTATGCAGAAATAGAGACTGAAAAATAGAAGCAAAGAGAGGAAGAAGCAGAATAGTAGAAAAACAAGGAAATTAAAAATACGTAAACTGAAGGAATGAAAAAATTGTCAAATATTTACTAAAGAGTTTTAGATGAGAAAACAGTCACTTTAAAACCTAAATACTGAATTGGTGCCTAATTCCAAAACGTTGCTCTCCCTCTATCAGTTCTGGACAAGTCCAAGCAAAAGGTGCTGGTGGGAATGAAAATGACCTAAGCAGGCAAATCTTATTCTTTTGCATCTACAAATCTAACAACTTGCTCAGTTGGCATTTGTGTTTTACCTCACAAACGTATTCTGCTGGAGAGCCATGGGTTTCCCATGAGCCTCACACAGCCACAAAGCACAGGCAGCATTCTGTGGGAAGCTGTAGAAAGTGTCCACAAATTACCAGCAGAAAGTGTCCATAAACTATAAATCCACAGATTAAATAATCTTTTATTTATCTTGACTTGAATGAAGCTGTTGAGATCGAGGACCCGGTGACCGGACTGAGGAAAGACTCACTCAGCAGTTGATGATGTCTTACCTAGGCAGCTATTTTTGGGTGTTCTGACTCACCTCCTGGAGGCTCTTGCTTCACACTGGCTATAGAGGGAAATGGGGATCCTAAATTTAGACGCTGTGGACATGGCTGAAGGGAAACGGTGTGCCAATACTGCAGGATATGGCAGCTCAGGAAAAACTGCTGACTTTGCCCATGGCGTACAACATTCTTGTCTTACAACAGAGGAGGGTGGTTCCTGCCTGCAGCGAGCCCTTTGCAGCCCAGAGGGGATGCTGAGCGTTGGAGGGGTTGAAGGCTCTGGCCCTGATGCAAATGTCAGGCTCTGGGGGCTCTCCGTCTTCACTCTCCTGTCAGTAAGGCTCAGTTAGAGGTCCCAAAAAGCAAAGGCTTCTTATTTATTTTGCTTTTTGGTTGGTTATTTGTGTTGAGTGGTCCCTTTCTTACTTTAACTGCAGGATAGGGTGTTTGAAAACAAATAGAGCTGCTTGTAATTTTTGTATCTAATAGCATTATGAAGAATAATAATATTAATTTAAGAGAAGGAACAAGTAGCTGAGGCTTTTGCAGAATGCTGTTTGCTCTCCAAAGGAATTTGGGTGCACAAGAGGTGGACTATTGATCAGTGCACTATTGATCCAAGTGGGGTCATAGGACTGCTGTGCATTTTTGGGTAATACACAGCCCCTGGTTGGCCCATGGCACAGTAAAGGATTTCTCTCTGACTATGATATTTCCTCCTTCTGGGAAGTGCTGAAGAAAATAAAATGAAACAAAACCAGAAGTGAAGTGAATGCAAAACTCCCAAGTACCTCAGTGAGCACTTGCGTAGCCTAAATAATGAATCTGTGTCAGATAAGCCGTGACCTAATTTTCAGATCTGAGCTTTGAGGAGTTTGGGTTCAGGCCAATTTCATGGGAGGTGAAGTCTAATTGCAATCCTGGATTCAAAGTCTTCACAGCTTTAGTGAAGTTCAGATCCAACTCTGTAATCTCTGATATTAAACTTGATTTGATTTTGGTTTGCTGCCCCCGGGCGAGCTTGGATGGAAGTGTGTTGCATTGACTTGGCATCTATTTAAGTCTCTATTAAAATTTTCTATAGCAATTAACAACAGACAGAATTAAGCCAATAATACGCATCTTTTTCTATCAACCAAGATTATGAATAACGGCATATATTAATACCCGTAGATGTTTCTTAGCCAAGCAGAAAACAGTTTAAGAGTACAACTTTTTCGGTGTCTGAGAAGGGCCAAGAAACCTCAACGGAGCAGACTTGCTTGTGAGATTGCTGATGCTTCCTGTTTCTGGTCACGTTAGCAATAGAGCATACGCACAGAAAGCCACACATTTGCCACATCTGAGGAGAAGGGGAGGAATTTTCAAAATTTCTCCGTCACTTCAGCGCTTTCAGTAGTGTCCCCTTTCTCATGGACTGAGCTCTGTGGTGGGGAACCAGAGCGGGGTCTGTAGGTCCGAGGTGCTCCTCAGAAGAGTGAGGACCCTCCTGCAGAAAAGCTCATCTGCTGCGAATGGTGAAGCTGAGACCGTGGGAACGGGTTGTTCCCCGAAGTGCATTGCTGTTGATGTTGCTGAAACGACGCGGCATTGTGCGAAGGATCAGCCTGGGCTTTTTTTTTCGTACAGGATTGTTGTCAGAAATGGCCTGCTTCAAAAAACTAGGAAATAACAGAAGGAAAAAGAATGAAAGAGTGAAGTGATTTGGAGTCTGCCAGAAAGTGTGGAGGCTGCTGCTTGGCTCAGGGCCTTGTTTCAGTGAAAGCTATTCAACATTTTTATAACTGATGGCAAAATTGCGCACTATTAGTGGGCTCTCTTTATGGCTATAATTTATTCTCATTTCTCAGAGGCAAGAGAGTAGAGGCCAGATTGCTTTATCCTGTGGTATTAAAAAGCCTGGGGCTGAGAAGCTTAGCACTGCTTTGTCAGGATTTTCTCCATCTGGCAAAATAATAGAATAAAACCATCCTATGCAGAGAGCTTTATTTTTTTAAAGAATGGTCTTTCTCTTTCTTCAGGGAAAGGTGGGGGAGGGGAGTATGTGTGAGTAAATGCGTATTTTCATTCATTAGCTGCCTTTTCTATATTCAGGAGCTATGATTCCTGACTACCGGACTTGCTTAAACTTCTCTGGGCATTAGTTGTGTGTATCGAGGCGGAGGCAGACAGAGGTTAAAAACCCTATTGAGAGACATGAGAGGTTTATAGGGTCCAGAGGGGTGAGGAGATCCCAGTGGAGGTTACAGTGTCATAGGCAGGGTAAGCTGACTCTTACAAAAATAAATTTCTTTAAGCGGAAAAGAAAGAAAGAAAACATGGATTTAGTTTTCTTCTTTCCTTTGTTTTTCCCAACCATTAATAGCAAAGGGATTTTTTGTTTTCATCAGTGTTTATCAAAACAGAAAGTAGGTATCTCTAGCAATGAATCACATCAATTGCTCATGACCCTTTGAAAGTTTCTTGTGTATTTTGAAGTCACCTGGTCAATAGGACAAAACCTCACCAGTAAGTACCATGAATTTCTGGTGACCTAACACAAGCAGCAAATTACTATTAGGAGTATTTTGAGTGTGCTTACACATACTAAGCTACATCAGTTGACAACATCAACTAAGCTCGAAAAATAATACACCTACTGAGTTTCTGAAGCCAGAAACTAAATCTGTGACTAAATGTTTTGATGTGAACATTTCACCAAGCTCTAGTCATGTACAGGAAAGAAGGTACATGTACGCAAGGGGAAAAGTTGAATACCAGTGAAAGTATCTCCGGGATGAAGGGAAAAGAGGAAAGAGAGAACTGGTACCACCTTTTGCAACTTTTTGGTCCCTTCCCTCCCCACACTGTAAGAATTACATTTCAAGTAAATGCCTGTGTTACTGCAATTCATAGAATATTACTCTTTTATCCTTCATTATCTAAGCTTTCTGGTAAGCCAAAGAAGCTCAGATAACACCTACCCTCTGGACTGCCCGAAGACCACACCTCTCAGCTGAGGGCCAGGTCTGAAATTGTCTTTGGGAAAGTCTGGACCTCAGATCTAAATTTTGGATTTTCAGAAAGTGCAGGAGTTAGAGGTATATTTACACACCAGTGTGGTCTGGATTTGAGGAAAATGTATCGTAATGAGCTTTGTTATGTGGCTAGATTTGCAAATAGATTACTATTTTAATGTTTATTATGAAAAGGTGGAGAAACCCCAAGTGAGAACAGAGGCTGAGCACTGTGTATATACAAAGTCTCTGCCCTGAAGAGCTTAATAATTAAATAGAAAAGATGGATAAATAGTGAAAAGGAAGACTCTTGGAAGTAAATTGCATAAAGTTCATAGCAGAATGCAGCACAGAAATAGCCTTTAAGTCCCAAATCTCCTATGTCCTGTCCCAGAGTTTTAGCTACCAGCCAAGAGTCAATAATTTTGTCATCTTTGCTTTCGTACGATCTACCCATAAACATACTCCAGAGTTGTGGTTGCATGCTCCAGTTGTAAAGAAAGTCTTAATTACAAGCTTTGCCTGTTGTTTTTTTAGAAAGACCACATCAAAATACTACTCCATAAAATTCAGTTAAAAAGATTCCCCCATCTCCTGAGCACAGCCACCTTGCCAGCGGTCTATTAGGCAAAAAGTCTTGATATTGCGCATTCTTCCCACAATCTAGTTATATTTTAATCTGTGTTTACACAGTATTGTTTTGAAGAACCATTGGCAGATCTATGGGTTATATGCTGGATAATCCAACAACAATCTTGCCTTGAGCCAAACCAGAACACTCTGTCAGGTATGGGTCTTGCAGTGTTTTAGGTTTCGTTCTGGGACACTCACAAAGTTCCTTGTTGACCCTAGCGATGAGGTAAGATAGGAAATTTAAAACAAGGTGTTGCCTAGTAAAAGCAGGCTACTGTTGTTCAGAGAAAGGTAAGTCTGGGCAGCAGTGGGAGGTCAGAGAGCTGCTCACATTTCATCACTGTACCTCAAGACCCCAAGAACATTTTCATTGGGAAGAGAAATTTCATTCAAGAATTTAGGATAATTAAGTGTTACTGATACTCGGTCCTTCACATTCAGGTATGTCAAATGGAGCTGGAACAAGGTCTTAAAAGTCTTTTCTTGGCACGTTTCTGATGCACACCATGTGGATAACGTTTGCCTGTTGACTTTGTCATTCACAAGGAACTCTATCTTGAGGTCAGTGGGGCTGTTTGAACAGTTGGGAAAATGAAAGTTCAAGTGGCAATAGATCAAGTAGAGGCCTTGTTGCCGTATCACCAGCTCTTCGCTCTTGCACTGGATGTCTTCACAAATACCCTTCTCGACCAAGCTCAGTTTTGAACTGTTTACTGGATTGGACACTAGAAAGGAAAGCAAACAAATTTTAAAATGAGCCACTGAGCTCTAGTGACCTGAATTCAGCCTTATGTGACCTGCAGCAGTGTATTTCCTGGTAAATGGAGATACCTGTTCAGTGGTTTTCCTGCAGGAAGCTCCAAGAAAAGGCCCTGGCCAGACAGCTGGGAGTTCACACATGGAAGTGGAGTGTTAAAAAGTTCCAGGGACTTACACAACCCTTGGGAAACCCAAGACAGGGAGATGCAGTGAAAATGGCCTTCTGCAATATTTAAAGGGAAATAATGGAGATGTATATTCATGTGTTTGTGTGCAGAAGGTATCTTTTTTTTTATTTTTTCTTACCAAGTTAAAAAAAAAGTTCACGTGATCAGATAGGGGTTTACCAAACACTCCCACATTTCAGGAAAGCTAAGGATTTTTTCCCTATAGAGCACTCATTTGGTCAAAAAGCTATTTGCCACTAAAACCAGTTTGAATAATATGAACAGCTTGCTCTTCAGCCAACTCTGCAATCTCTTTTTGCCAACTCTTGCCCTCCCCACTGACCTCTCATGTACGCAGCAGCTCTCTTGGTCGGGACATTCTGTAGGATTCTTAAATAGTCTTCGGTGGTGTTCCCTGAAGGAAACAACAGATTAAGAGACCACTCCTGATTTTTTTTGTACTGTAAAATGTTGTCAGCATTTGGTACCTCATTTATTTGCTATAACTGCGCTATGGACAAACTCCACAGCAGCAGCTCCAAAGCAACAAGCAGCAGCAGCTAGAACAGCATGGAAGAGAGATGAATCTTACTCCTCAGCTGATAATATCTGATTAGGGAATTCATAGCAGTGTAACTTGACTGGTAAATTTATAACAGTCTAGAGCTCTGGCAGACTGCAGCTATCAGTCCAAAAAATTGTATATCTCTTGTTCTCCTTACAAACAGAAATTAAGTGCAGGTAAGCTTAATTTAACCAAATTATTTGTAAGGTGCAATTACAGAAAGAAGCTTTTAAACATTTAACTGGGACATATGTCTGAAAATGGCTCTTTGGGTGCTTTTGAAACATTGCTCTGTTCTGTCATGGTTAAAATGTGGATGTCACCAGGACTTTAGGTGAGGTTGTTGGTTGTTCAGACCCGAGAGCTCCCTGCTAGCAGAGCCGGGACAGCGTTGTTCCGGCGTGCGCGTCTTCCTGCATAGCCATGACGGCAGGGAAGGGGCACGCACACCGCCAGCACCTCGGTGCAAGGCAAAAGGCAGCTGCGTGTCACGGGAATGCCCTCAAAATCCAACGCCCCGGGGCGGGGAGGCTCCGGGGCTGCCCCGCCGCAGAGCG